GAGACCCTAGCCCCCAAAACAAACAGGTAAAAATATAGGAATTTTGCTTTCTTTCATGGGCGGATTTAAATTGCTTGCAATGCTCAATTCGGGGACAACTCAGTGTTTCCTTTCACTAAAGACTGATCCTTTTCCCCGTCAGTGGCATTTGTATGGAAGAATTTGGCAAAATAAAATGTCCTGAGAATTGCTTGTTTTTATGAGCTCCCCTTTAGTCCACTTTTACTCCAGAACATTGATACAGACACATTTCAAGTGCTAGAGCAATTTCCCAAGGAAACATGTCAACAAGCTGTTCAGGTGTGAGATATATGCTCTGCAGTCTGTGCCTCTGGCCTTGATTGGTGTGAGGACCAAGTTTCCAGGTCACAGTGGGCTCCATGCCCCTTACCCAGAATAGAGTAAGTGCAAAAGTTCCTGTCTTAAAAATTCTATTCTATGTGGCAGTTTCTCTGTGCTTTGACAATTGCAGTTCCTCTTTTAGGGCATCTCCACCCTGCTTCTGTTCCTCTTTTTAAGATGAGCTTCTTTTTATGTAATTCAATGAATATAGGAATTAGTTATAGCTGATATAGGAATTAATTATAGTGGACATAGTCATATATCTTAGTTAGCAAAAAAATCAGATAATCTAATGAAAAGAGGAATTAATTCTTTGATGAAAAGAGGAATTAATTGTCTACTGAAAAGAGGAATTCTCTAATGAAGGCCTTAGGTAACTTTCCACCACGTACCCTCCCAGCACCCCATGATAATTTTGCAAATGTAAGCATTAGGTCATGTTCCAGTGTGCCCTCCTGATGCCCCTTGATGATAAGGGAAAACTAAAAATAGTAACAGAAAAATCCTTTATAAACTTGGTTCAAAGTTGGATCTGGGCTCTGGGTCTGAAGCCGCTGTGACGGTGACACCTGAGAGTCCAGGCTCGAGCTTGCAATAAACTCCTCTTGCAATTGCATCGGACCTGACTCCTTGGTGGTCTTTGGGGACTTTGTGACTTGGGCACAACAATTGGCATATACCTTATGCTAAATTCTTCTTTGTGGCTGGCTTCTTGAAACTGTTTTTGGTGTGTTCATTTATAAGCAAGAGTAGATTCATTACTCTAAATTTGGCTTAGATACAGATATGATAACCTAGACTTTTGGACAAATGTCTACATTATTTTTCTTGGGCATATTTTCAGTGCAGATTTAATAAATCTTACCTGTACCTACCTCTTACCTGACAAGGAATTGTTTCACAAAATATATGTGTAT